GGAGCAGAGATAGGAATATCAGAAAGTTGAGGCCAGCCTAGGCTACTCCATAGTGAGACCCTGTCTCAAATCAAACAAACACAAAAAGTTCAGAGTGGAAAGAACTAAGCTGAACCCTTGCAAATGGGAAGTTCTAGATATTCTTAAAATAGGAGGGTTTTGGGTGTCCAGAAGCAGAGAAAGGGCATGGGCCACTAGAACGGTGACTTCCCTTTCTGGTGTGTAATCTGGAGAGGAAGACACACTCAAAGAGAAAGTAATCAGGCATGGAGACATACTTGGCACACTTCTTCAGGGTGCTCAGATCTTCCTAACATTTATTTTCTCAGTCTAGGGTTGAGTGTGATGTTGAGAAATCAGAATAAGGAAGCTATCCTTTTTTGAGATAGACCACACACAAAGTTAGTGGGCTCTTGTAGTTGCCAGTCACAGAGATATTCTGATAGATTTTACTGACAAGGGATGTGGTAAAAATGTATAGCAAAGTCAGAGAAGAAAAGGCAACAATGTGCTTGTCCCCAGAGTCCCCAGGGACCCCAGATGGGGGAGGGAGTCCTGCTCAGTTCCACCAAACTCCAGCCACTACTGCAGCTGCAAGACCTCGGCAGGCCCTATCCGCACCCCTTGGCAAGACTATTTTAGTTTCTAGCTTCTCTGCTTGAGTGGGTGGCCTCTTCTTTTCTACCTTCTCTCCCAGCCATTCTCTTCTCCACTGTGGTTTCTATTTTAGCTCTCTGAATGAGGACTTAGGGTCATCTACCATTAAGTGAGAGAAAAATGTCAGCACAATTAACAGAAAATCCAATTAACAGTAGTTCAAAATGAATAGGGTCTGGTTTATTTCTCCCATAGGAAGAGACCACAGGCACTGACACTGGTTCTGTAGCTCAAGGCTGATATTGCTGACTCAAGCTTAACCTTCCAATTCTTCCAATTTTATGTATCAGCTTGTGGCTGCAAGATGGCCACTGCAGAGTTAGACATTACTGTGTCTACATTCAAAGTAGGAAATAGGAAAAAGGTCAAGACCTGCAAGGCCTCCTAAAGCATCTGTTCATTGTATGAGATGAAAGATTTCTCCCGTAAGTGCTTCAAACTCCCCGTCTACACACACGTAACTTTTGTTTCTGCAGCATTAATCAAAACTATATCATATGAACACACTTAGCTGTCACAAAGGTTGGAACAGTAGCATCAAGCCTCTTCAGTGAGAAAACAGTGAGAGAGAAGGTGAGAAAAGGTGTTGGCAGTCCACAGTGAACCATGTCTGCCATTGTGCCATGCAGCATGTGCCATCTACCCTAGGCAGAGCTGTATCCTAGGACTTCGCTGTATTGAGACAATTGTCACTAAGCCAGCGCTTTGTCAGACATCATCAGGTGTCAGCCTGGCAGCTAAGAAGATAAGAATGGATAAACTCTCCCCAGGGACCCAATTATAGCTTAATCAATCATGCATTTAGCTCTACTTGCTTCCATTCCACCTCACTTCATGAGCTTATTTTTTTTTTTTTTTTTTTTTTTTAAATTTAATTTAATTTTATTTGTGAACATACTGTACAGAGGAGTTACAGTTACATGGGCAGGATAATGTGTACATTTCTTACCAAGCATTGCAGCCTCCTCCTTTGTTTATCCTTCACATCCCTTCCCAGCCTCCCCCCTCCCCCCCTAATCCCAATCCTTCTCCTTCCTCCCTCCCCCCAGCTCCCCCCCCCCACCAACATTGTAAAGTTCGTTTTGGACATGACAACTTGTACTTCTCATTGTTGCAACAGGTCCACCTGTATCCTTAAACAACTGGTTATCTTATTCATTCATATGTTCATCAGGAAAATATTAATGAGAATGGCACACACTTGTCTGAGTAGAGGGCATATGACAGTGAAGAAAACACAAACTTTATTTTCTAGCAAGTGAAATAAATATTACTTGTGTCTATGTCCAGATACATGTATTTACATGTATATATATTTGTATATGCATAAAAATCTCAGATCAGGTCCCTTTCATGCTCCTATAATCTTACTGCTGTCCTCAGCAAGGATTAGATGATTTCAGTAATTACTTGTACAAAACATATTATATATACACAAATACCACCCCCCCCACACACATACACATTCCATGAAATCCAGATGGTAATAAGAGCTACAACAAAAGTAGAGCATTGGCTATAATTTATAGAATGATCAAGAGAATGCAGAACTATATGTTTTCACTGAAAAAATTTCAAAGTGTCTCCTTGAAAGGGAAGCTGGCTGACCTTCTGCTCTGGAGAACAGGGGAAGGAAATGCATGGTGCCAGAGCCCAAACAGTGTGGGCCACATGTTCAGTTCTCACCGATCGCATTGTATTTTTCATTTCTTCATTTATTTTTATTTGGCCTGTTCATTCCCTTAAGCCGTATTGAGTGTGGCTTTCAAAATATGATCCTGAGCAGCATTTCCGTGAGTATTTGGCTTTAGAATGACCACACAAATTTGTTTTCATAGTTTTAAAAACTCACCAAAGGCTATCATGGGACCAACATGTACTTGGATATTGTCCAGCCATCAGATATGGGAAATCTATTGAGAAAGCTAGCACATTGCATATTTGCTTCCACAATAGATGCTGTGATTGTTAAACTTTGCCCAAATTATATTTTTTCAAATTTTCTATTAAGTGGTTACATAATTTCCCAAATTTCACAGTATTATGGGATAGTGAAGCTTAGTTAAAGTCTCAAGCACGTTCTAACTTTCATAGGACAAATTGTCTATCATGGTCTATAACATTTATGAGTTCTATGAGCTTTGCAATACAGTTATTTCTTCCACATTGGGTGGTATGTACATTTCTTTTGTTTTGCATAGCATCAGCTGTTCACTCTTTCCCACTTGCTCCCTCCCTCCCACCACTGCCATTGAGTTGCTTAGTTAGTTCATTTTGGTCAATATCCAGTGCAGTTGATGGGTCCTGCTGTTGTATGTTTTTCCCTGATTCCCTCTAATTCTGTGTCATCCTCCTGGTTTCCCTCCGGTGTGCACATATATACCATACACAGATCAGCAGTATGTGCCCAAATTATTCTTTAGGAATAGAAGACAGAATCCTATCCTTCCCTGTAAGTAGGAGTGCTGTTAATACTCTCAATTGTCAGCTTTCTTTGGGAAAACGCTTCAGCTGAAGTCATAGGAACCCAAAAATCACATCCATTCAACACTGGAGCTTGTGGGCTAAACCCTTACTCCCACTCAGGACACTGCCACAAGGCCATCTTAGCTTAGAGCTCCCATTGCATTGGTTGAAATGAAGCCTTTGTTGGCATGGCATCACAGAGAACTTGTTCCTCTGTCTTGCTTCCTGTCCCTACTTTTCATGGGGTTTTAATCTCAACAGAGATTTAAAAAGTTGCTGGGCAACTTAATCTTCACTCCAGATTATACTGCAAATATTATGATCAGTTCTAGACCCCTAAGGTCAGTTATTTATCCTTACAACTCTGCAATGGCTAGAAGGTGCCTCTTATAGGTAGACATCATAAAAAAAAAATCAAAGGAAATAGTCCTCCTTCAACTAAATTACGTCTTCCTACTCAAAGTAGGTGTCAATGCACCCAACCCAAGGGCACTGGCTCTTCTTGAATGTTTTGTCAGAAGAAGGCAGCATGTCAAACTCCACCTTGAATCAGAGGTACTGAATCTGAATCTGATTTTTCAGAAGATCCCCAGGGTTCCCATGGACAGTAAAGTTTGATAAGTATTGAGCTAAGAGATTTAGTAATATTAGATTATCTAGCTGATAATTCTTTTTACTTGTACAGGATGCCTTTACAGGATGCTTTTTCTATGTAAAAGCTGGTTTGGAAATACTGGAATAGTACATTCTTTCATTCAACAAATACTAATTGATCGCCAGCAAAGATTTCAGCACCATGGGGTTTACATTCCAGAATAGAAAGAAAATAAAATCTGTGTGTGAGAGTATTATAGAGTAGGTTGTAAAAAGCACCATGAAGAAATACTATGATAATACAGTCTGGTCAAGAGGAGGGAGACTAGCTTGCAATTTCAGTGTTTTGCAAATGACCACACGTTAGGCAGAGAATTGAAGCAGGTGAGGTAGCCACAGGCCTATTTGGACACCATGGTAAAGACAAGAAGACCAAAGTGGCTGGAGTGGAATAGGAGAAATGCAGCCTCATAATAGTTGTGGTCAGAGAGGCGAGACGGCAGATCTTAATGAGCGGCTACTGGATGGATCGTGTCTGGACATTTCCTTGTTACAAAGCTTTCTCCCGACCCAAGTCCATTCGATTCTGGTCCTGGGTGTGTGCTCAAACCACGACGATCACTAGCAAAGTCTTAGCCCTGGCAGGACTGGCCTTCCAGAGAGGGTTCTGAAGCCTCAGGCTCCAGGACGCCCAGAAGGCTGGGCTACGTGTCTGGGCGTGGACGAGGGCCCGGCTTTGCCACCTTAGGGCACAAACAGGAAGAGGAATTGCGGAAGGTGGTGCCAGGCTGAAAGAAAGTAACCTTTGGAGCCAAGTTCCTCTCACAGCCAGTACCCTGGATCTTGAAACACTGTACTTATTCGCTTGAACCCCTTCCTCCAGCCCCCCCCCGGGCCCCGCCGGCACTACCTCGGCCTAAATCCAGTCTCCAGGTTTCCAGCTGCTCCGGGAGTCTCGGTCACGGTCCCACCCAGACCCACGGTCCCACCCACGCCCCGCCTCGCCATCCTAGCCCCGCCTTCCCCGCTCCACAAGCCCCGCCCCTCCCAATCTCGTCCACTCCAGGTCTTCCAGTCAGGCTACTGACCCCGCCCCCACAATGGCCACACCCCCCATGGGTGGGGCTCAGCTTTTACAACCCCGCCCCGCCCGGCCGCCCAAGCTCGGCCTCCCTCAGGCGTGGTAGTCGGGAAGGGTGGGCGGACGTGACGCGGAGTGGAGGCCGCGGGGCCCGTGCCGCGAGTCGCCCTTTGTGGCTCCGGGCTGGACCCATAGGTTATCGGAGGTATCATGACTCCCCTCGTCGTTTTCCTGCTTCTGGTGGTGCAAGCCGGGAGCGGGGCTACAAGGAGCCAAGAGGATCCCGAGCTGCCCTCCGGTAGGGTGTCGCGGCCGGGTGCGGACGGGGGCGGGAGGCCGGGAGTCGTCAGGGCCGGGAAGCCCCGCCTGGCCCGGCCGTTGTCCCCGCGTCTCCCCGGCCGAGCTCACCTTGGATCCCGCACCTGCGCCGCGCGGCTGCGGGGCGGCTGCGGGGGGCGGCGCCGGCGCACGCGGGGCCCGCGCGGCCCTACAGGGTTCTCCGAGTGTGTTTTTCCGTGCGTTCCTCGGCGCGCCGTGGACGCCCTGGCCCCAGCTGTGGCCTGGAGACGCTCCTCGGGGCGCTGTGTTGCCAGGCCTCGGTTCGCCGGGGTTGCTCAGCGACTCTCTAGATAGTGGCCTTGGGACCCCCGGGTCGCTTCTCAGGGCGTAGCACTTTGTTTCCATCTGCTTATTGACTTTTCTTAGCAAACACAGGCCAAAGATCGTTTCTCTGAAGTGGAGGGTAACGGTGATTAGGAGAAGGGAAAGCAGTAGACTTGAGTTCCCCAGTAGCCTTCGCTGGAAGGCCGGTGAGGCCCCACCTGCTTAACTCCCGGCGACCCCCGCTGGGCCTCCCAACCTAGGACTTCTTCCTAGAGTCCCTGGGGGCGCGCGCCTGTCAAACGCAGCCCTCCTTCTGAAGTCCTGCGAAGCAATACTTAGTCATTCCTGAGGCAGAGGTGGTTACAGAATGGGAGAAGACAGTTGTGGTTGATGATCTCTGCTTTCAAGGATCTTCACACTAGCTAACAGTAGCTGCGGCCCGGGGCACATCTCATTTCAGTCACCTGTGAAGTCTATGCTGGTGGTCTCCATGTATTGATGAGAAAGGGATACAACTGATTGAGGGCTCCTTGCTACTTGTGGGAAGCTGTTGTGGTTTGGCTCCATAGTCCAAGTTCTTATCCAGTCTATCAGCTGGCATTCTATCTAGGGCCATTTATAGCACAGCTGTGATGAAGAGTCTGGACTTGTGCACCAAGTACAAGGAGACACAATATATATGTCCGACTCTCCAAGGGAGTCTGGGAAGGCTTCACGGAGGTGGCCCTGGCCTTCTTATCAGAGGTGCAGAAGAGACTTGAGTGTACAGAGGTGTGAGAAACAGTGTTGAACTCATGGGATAAAAAGTGTTTCATCATTTGCCTGGGCTCCAGTGCCTCATGCCTGTAATCCTAGCTACTCAGGAGGCTGAGCTCTGAGGATTGCCGTTCAAAGCCAGCCCGGGCAGGAAAGACCGCGAGACTCTTCAATAAACGACCAGAAAACTGGAAGTGGCACTGTGGCTCAAGTGGTAGAGCACTAGTCTTAAGCTGAGGACCCAGAGGAGTTTATTGGCTCAGAAAACTCAAGTAAAAGTTGAGGAGAATGTCAAAGATGCCAACTGGGTCGTAGGAAGCTAGAAGCAGGAAGGCAAACAGCTAGATTTCACCATTTCATATTTCTGTTGGTCTGAGTATTGACAGCTTTCCCTGCTTGGCAGGAGTTATAGCTGTTGATAGCCCTCATCGTAGTCCTGTCCATTAACTGCCCTGCTTGTTCTGTCTCTTCTGGATTATCAGCTTTCCAAGAAAACAGCTCTAACCACACCTTTCCTTTTGTTTCTGTGATGAATTTGAGTGTACCGAGAGAAGCTGGTACTCCTCTGTATGGTTTTGTTAAACCCTCAGCTTTGAGGTCAAAGCTTTGAGCTTGGAGGAGCTTTGGGAATTAGATCTTAAAACGGGTAAAGTTTATTCTTGGTAATTTGCTTGCATACTACACCAACTTATTATCAGCTTATTTCCAAAAGCAATAAGTTATGTACAACTACCTGGGCATTTTCGAGAAATGTAAAAAAAAAATCTATGAGATTATTTTAGTTTATAAAATCATTCCAGCAGGATCTTTTAAAAAAACTTTATAGATAAAACACTCTTTTTCTTTTTCAGCATATGTTTTTCTTTACACAATGTAAACATCATAAATAATAGTTTGTAGTGATCCTTACTTTAATCTGAATGTAGAGCTATATAAAACCTCAGATTATAAAATCTTGAACTTAAGAAAACTACTATGTCTGTGTAGCACATGGTTTTGGCAAAGATAATGCAAGTAATGTCTAATAACCACATGACTTCTCTTTGATCGTGTTAAAACTCCAATTACACCTTTCAGTATAAATATACAGAAGCTTCGTCTAATAGTAATTTCTGCCTGCTGTAATTCGTGGAAACTTCTGCCTATCGTGAATGCTTTGAAAACTATTTTTTAAGTGCTTATCCTAGACTAATATGCTCCACTTTAAATTATGGAAAGCATAGTTCAATTCACATTGAAAACTAAGACTTCGGGGCTGGGAATATGGCTTAATGGAAGAGTGCTTGCCTAGCATGCATGTAGTCTGGGGTTCGATTCCTCAGTGCCATATAAACAAAAATCCAGAAGCAGCTCAAGTGATAGAGTGCTAGCCTTGAGCAAAAGAACCCCAGGGATAGAACCCAGGCTCTGAGGTCAAGCCCCAGGACTGGCCAAAAAAACACATATACAACTAAGGTTTGATAAATCTCTTACTATGTGCTATTTATTGTACCCTTTCCATGACTGAACTGACTACTGTATGCCTTTTCCTCAAAAAGAATTTCAGACTTGAATACATGTCATTTCAGTTGGGCATAAATATATAAAAAGGCTTAAAAGACGTGGTAGGCAAAGTGTGGTGGCTCTTATTTGTAATCCCAGTTACTTTTCAGGCAGAGATGAATAGGAAGGATAGTGGTTTGAGACCAGCCCAGGAAAAAGGTTAATAAGATCCCATTTTATTAAGTCTACATCTATAATCAAAGTGACATGGGAGGACCAAATAGGAGAATCACGGTCCAAAGTTGGCCTGAGACAAAAAAAAGTGAAAGACCTTGTTCAAAAAAATAACTAAAACATAAAGTACTAGGGGCATGGCTCAGGAAGTAGAGGGCCTACTTAGCCCTGGTAGAATGTAAAAAGACCAAAAAAAAAAAGTGGAGGGAGGAAGGGGGAATCCTTGTGTAGAGGTGAAAATTTTAGTTAATTACCATTGCCTTCAGTGTCCTGGAAAGCTGAAAATGTGCCCAATGTGAACAAGCTCAGGGGGTTTCCAAGTGAAATGGTGAAGGTGTCACCTGGCTTCTTTGTATTTCTTGTCTAGAATATGAGCCTGGATAAATTAACATGAAAAGGACTGTTGGGCTGGGTGCCCAGGATTTAAAAGAGAAAAAAACAAAATGAAATATTGAGTGTGTTTGGTAAAAAGCCCTTCCCATCCCAGAAAGCTAACTGTTGATGGCACTGGAGTTGTCAGTGACTGCTCCAGTCAGTCTCCACACGTCTGCCACAACAGAAGGTGTTAAGGGTCAGCACAGTATTCCGTGGTGAAGGGTTGAGAGCCAGGTGGCATTTCAGAGTGAAACTGGCCATCCCCACTGGTGGCATTTCAGAGTGAAACTGGCCATCCCCACTGTGGCTGGTTTTCTCTGGACAATGATTGCAATCTGTGTTGTCACACACCAAACATTCTGAAGTTAAGTGAATTCAAGAGTATTGGTGTATGAGGCAGTAATCTTATTTATATAGACCTTGAATATAATGGGAGTTTATTGCCCCAGCAATAAATTTGCTCTTGTATTTACATTTCCATTATTTTGCAATGTTTTCACAATTGAAAAATGAATCAATACATAAAAGTTGACCCTTAAAGATGACAAATCATATAAGTTTAATGCAGTCTATATACGTATATAACTTCCATAGGTATATATAAAACTTCCCAGCAGACTATTCAGAGCAGAACAGATAGGCATTTTTCTTCTTTATTATAACTGGCACACAATAATTATACATATATTCCATATATTTATAGAATGAAGTGTGATTCCTTTAGACATGTACACAATGTGGAATGATCAGATCAGAGCTAGAAATTTACTCTTACTTGAAATGATATCAGTATCTATTGCAGTATCTGTTTTTCTTCCAATAAACCTATTTGATTAATATGACATTCATAAGGTTTTTCTCATGGTAATGTTAGTTTCTTATTACTGTCCATTTTACTCTTACAGTGCCTTTACCAGCCAGTGTGATAATCAAATCTTATAACATGGACCCTGTCTTGTGTTGGGAGTACCAGAACATGACACAGAACCCTGTGTTTACTGTACAGGTAAAGAACTACGGGTAAGTGTGTTTTTTTTTTTAAATATCTATTTGATTCTTCCTTTATCTACATTTTTGCACATTTCACAACGCTGTGTTCTACTTTCTGAACTCCCTGTAGGTGGCCATAAGTACTAAGGATTCAAACTGGTTCTATACTATTCTACCTGCCTCTTATTTAGTCTTCCTGTCAAAATTGAAGTAGAAAAATAGCACTAACTTCCATGATTCTTTCTCTACTTACTCTCTGTTTCTCTGTCTTTCTTTCTGTCTCGCTGTCTTTCTTTTAAAAGTAGCATCAGGTAGTTATATAGGCTGTTTCATTTTAACATAACTATTTTTGCATACAATACATCTTAATCAGTCACCACACCACTTCCACAATTCTGCTCCCCACCCACACTTCACAAACCAGGCTCAGAACGTTTCCTAGAAGTGACTGCGAATAAGTAGCTACAGCTCAAGGACTCCCAAACCAGAAGAGTAACTTCAATGTGCATTAGTTTCATATTTTCCTTCATGGTTTGATTGAGGTTAAACATTTCTCTCAAGCTCCCTACAATGTGTTCACTATAGAGAACATGGTAGAGAGCTTGTTTCATTATTGGTGATGTGTTTATTCAGATGTCCACCACACAGATTCCTTTCAGTAAGCAACCAGATTCCTTTCAGTAAACAATCTGTGAGAGAAAGCGTATGAGTGTGTGCACATGCTGCTTTCTGTAAATCCATGAATATCTTTTGCATCCATTCATTAGTTTTGTTATTACTGTGATAGGCGCGCAGCTAATTTTTTTTTCACAATTTGTTCTATTTTACTTGCTAGATTGACAAACATTCAAAATGTAAACACACTCCTTTTGAAAATGGGAGACATAGGCATTCTCATATGTGAGTTGCATGGATACAAAATTGACCTAGCCTGAAGAAAAGAATTGGGAAGGATCTTCAAAAATTTTATGAGTTTCCCTTGTTTGTGTATTATTTGTTTATTTTGGCAGTACAAGGGATCAAGCCCAGAGCATTTTCATGTTCCAGGTAAACACGTTGCCACTAAGTTACATTTCCATCTCCCATGCATTTGCTTTTTGACCTAATAATCCCACATTATGACTTATCCTTACGATTTATAAAAATACACTTTAAAGACATTCCCCATGTTTAGGAGATAGACTGAACAAGTGGCTGCTCATCACAATTTGGGATTCTATGTACCTTTAAACAAAAACACGAAGAAAATTTCTAGATCTTATATGTAGTGATTTCCGGGATATGTTGTTAAATGAAAAAAAGAAACTAAGTCAATAAAGCATACATAGTGTAGTCTTTCGGAGGTAAAAAGGAATGGAGAGAAACATTTACATAGATAATGCCTTAATTTTGATAAAAGAATGATAGCAAGTGAAAACTTAAAAACCAATAAATTGACTATCTACAAGGATAGGTAATAATGTAGATATGGATAGAAAAGGAAAAAAGAAAACAACTTCAATCTTTTTTTTTCCGCTTGGAGAAATGCTGATTCCATGGTGAAGCTAAGGAAAGGCTAAGGCTTGAGTTTTTGGGTTTTAGGGAATTTTATGTTTGTTTGGTAGATTTGCCCTATTCTTGTAGAAGTGGGCATTGAACTCAGAGTCTCATGCATATTAGGCCAGAGCTCTACCATTGAGCTACGTCTTCAGGCAGGGAAGGATAATATAACTAGAAGGCCTCTTTATGATAGAATTTCTTTTAAAAATGATGGAGATAAGCCAGGGATAAGCCTATAGTCGTAACTACTCAGATAGCTGAGATCTCAGAATTGTGGATCAGAGCCATCCTGGGCAGACAAATCCACAAGATTCTTATCTTTAATTAACCATCAATTAACTAGCAATGGGTAGAACTAGAGGCATAGCTAAAGCGGTAAAGTGCCAACCATGATTTAAAAAAAAGCCAAGTGAAAGCACAAGCCTCAATAATAGCACCCCCTCCCCTTCACAAAAAAGACTAAAATGATGCAGAGATGTCAGAATGACCCAAAAGTCATCATAAATAGACACTAGCTAGCCAAAAGTTAGCAGTTTGAGCAGCAATATAAGATTACACAAAGAACTAAGAAAGGATCCCTGTATTTCCAACTGAAAAGAGAAGGGCTTCCTACTTTGGCTCCTCCATCCTATTTCAGCTTAGTTTGTTCTAGCAGCTCTGAGCTATGAATAAGAGCAAAGAGAGGAAGAGATGGTTCAAATGACTGCTATAATTAAGTTACCTTCGTGTTTCTTTCTTGTTTGTCATTTTAGGAATGGAGAATGGATTGATGCCTGCACCGATATCTCTCATCATTGCTGTTCTATTTTCAACCAAGTTGATGAACCAGAATATCCTCTCTGGGCCAGAGTTAAAGCTAGGGTTGGACAAAGAGAATCTGCCTATGTAGAGTCAAAAGAATTTACTCTGTGCAAACAAGGTAAGTAGAATGTACGCATGTATAAATTTTAATTTTGAGGATGTTTGTCTTCTGCATACGTTTGCTTTGCTTCGCAGTTGCTACAAATGATCATGATGCCTAAGACATTTGCAAAAATTTAGAGAATCATTATCTATCATTATTTTCATTCCAAGCTCCACACATAGGACAAGGAGACAACCATCACTTTGAAACTTATGAACCATTAAATGTCAACTCGATTTAAATCCCTATAGACGGCCATTCTCTGGTTGTACTTAGCAAATACCCTTTCCCTCCCTGTCTTCCTTGTCATTTATTTCCGTTTTGTATTCACACAGGAGTTTGCCATGGGTCTCTCGTTTTTTTTTCTTCCTCTGCCTGGTCCTTAAAGTCCTTGGAAATTTAAATAACAACTGAATACATTGAACATTTCAAAGCTGGACTTTGCTGGCTCACACCTGTAATTCTAGCTACTCAGGAGGCTGAGATCTGAGGACTGCAGTTTGACGTGAGCCCACTGGAAAGTCGGTGAGACTCTTATCTCCGATGAAGCACCCAAAAGCTGGAATTAGAGGTGTGGCTCAAGTAGTAGAGGACCAGCCTTGAGAGAGAAAGCTCAGGGATAACGCCCAAACCACACTTAGTTCAAGCCTCAGTACCATCACAAAGGGAAAATACACACACACACACACACACACACACACACACACATACACACACACACACACACACACCACACACACACACACACACACACACACACACACACACACACACACACACACACACACACCTGCAACTCTGTGACTTTTAGGTCTTGGCTCTTCTAGCAGCTACCCATGGCATACTTGACCTGTGATATCACTGTCGCTCCAACTCCAGAATGTTCATTGTCCTCACCCTGACAGTCATCTCTCTCCTGGGTAGAACCCTTTGGTTGCCTGACCCTCAGCTGGTCTTCTAGTCTTCAGTGCCTTTTCTTTTAGCTACACTTCCTTCTGGTTCAGCTTCTGTGCTGTTTCTTCAGCTACTGCCCCGTGCATGATCTCCACGGCTTTGATTCTGCTTCTGCTTTTCAGATTGCACCACTGTGAGCTTCCTACGGGTCGTTCCCCTGCTTGTCCTCTTGATGTTTTTATTCCCCTGAGTGCACGAATTTGTCAGCTGACACTGCCATCTAAATGATGCTTATCAAGGGCCCACTCTCTGTGTTCAAGCAAATATGCTAGGCCCTGAGACACTGACAAGAAAACTAGATCTGCCTGGCACACGGTAGGTGCCTAGTGAATACTTGAAGCATAGAGAAATGGTTTCCCAATGAAGTTGCAGATGTCGAAGACACAGTGATCATTTGCTGATATTTGAATTTCTGATTTTGACTTTCCCAGTAAAGATCAAACTGTTGACGAACTCTTACAGAGCCTAAATTTATGCCACACACTCTAGTGTGTGAAGACACAGAGTTTCACTGATAGAAGATGACTAAAGTGGCCTTTCAGAAACAGTTTTCGGGGGGCTGGGAAGGTGGCTCAGTGGTAGAGCGCTTGCCTTGCATGCATGAGGCCCTGGGTTCGATTCCTCAGCACCACATAAGCAAAAAAAGAAGAAAAAAGCCAGAAGTGGTGCTGTGGCTCAAGTGTAGAGTGCTAGACTTGAGCTGAAGAGCTGAGGGACAGTGCCCAGGCCCAAAGTTCAGGTCCCACAACTGGACCCCCCCCAAAAAAAGAAATAGTTTTTAGAAACCAAGATTTTAAATATATAGAAACAAAGATAAAGGAACATACACTTAATAGAGCTTCTTTTATGTCAAGGGTTTCTTTTTCTTGTTTAAGTTGGTACAATATAATTGTTTTTCTTTTTTAAAATTATTTTTTTTTTTACCTTTTGGTGTTTTTTAAAACCCAACTATAACCAATTATATTTCCCTGAAGCTATAAATGAAATTAAACTGCCAAAAGAGGTTTGGATAAGAGAATGTCTTGTCTGCAATTTAGCACACATTTGTTTTTGAGATATATTTAGAATGGCTTCTAAGGCTTTGGGGAGAAGTTTAAATGTGGTTCTAGTAGAATCATAACAGAAAAAGTAGATTGGTTTATGGATTTTGATAATCTTATGAAATGCACTGGGAAGGTCCACAACTGGTATTAATTATACTTCTTTTCTCGGCCAGGAGAAATTGGACCACCTGCACTGAAAGTCAGAAGGCAGGAAGACCAGCTCATCACTGATATATTTCACCCTTCAATTGTTACAAATGGAGAAGTGCAAGGAATTATGTATGATGCTATGTACGAAGGCGCTTGTTACACGTTCGACTACACCGTGTATCTGAGAGTGAATGGGAGCAAGGTAGGTGTTTCTGTTGCACCTTGTGCAATGGAAATTATTCCATAGCTACCCCCAAGTTATTGGTTCATTTAATATTCATAAGTAGAATGCTTATGGGTCTTTAAGCAAGAATAAGACAGGTCTTATTTGGGGAAAAAGCACACCTATGGTGTTTATGACCAGATGAATACACTTGTGATTTTTTTTTCTTTTGTCCTAATTTAGCAAGGCCTAAACTATAATTATAATTGGTATACTCCACTGAGGAGATGAGACTAATTTCAGCTGGTGGTGGTGGTGATTCAACTAGAAGGGCGGGCTGTGGTTTATAATAATGGATCAGAACAGGCCTCCAAGGAAGGTGTTAACTAGAGCCAAGGCTGAGGTCAAGAGGAGAGACTCCTAGGATAGGCAGGGAAAGTGTGTCAGGTGCAGGGACCCAACAGGGCTGAGATGGCACTGGAGGGCAATAGGGCAGTGGGTGGAGGGTGCAGAGAATGAGGAAAGGGAGGGTATTGGAGGGATTGACTTTGATCCTTGATGTGGCACCTACAGAACTATTTACTCAGCAGAGTGACATCTGAGTTAGAGCTTCCAGTAGCCCCTCGGCTGCTAGCACAGTTGTCTTTTCAAAGAGCTGATCTAATTGTGATATTCTACTGCCTAAGACCTTTCCACACATCCCATCAGCTTCAAAATACCTAAATGATGACGTAGGAGATTCTCGGGATCTGGCCCTTTGTGTCCTCTCCAGCCACCGTCCCACATCCCCTTAGCCACCGACCTGCATCCCTTCAGCCTTGTCTTCCATGCTTGTGCCCTGCTGAGAAGTTCCATACTCTTTCAGAGAATATCCTCCTTGTCTGTCTATTGGCCCATCTCTGACCATTCCTTGGCACCATCTCCCTTTTGAATTTTTTTTTTATTTCTGGCAATGAATATTATTTCCTTTTCTATGTCTGGGTGCTATTTCCTAGTTCCATGTAGGATCCTATTCCATACTCTCAGTTGGCGTTTCTTTCTGATCTGTACACTGAATTATAAGGTATTTGAAGTTAGGCCCCACATACTACCCATAGTGGTTACCCGTGTTACCACAACAAAGTACCTGAAACAATTAATGGAAAGAAAAGCTTTATTTAGGCCAGTTTTCCAGGCTCAAAGGCATGGTGCCTTGGCTGACTCAGTTCTGGTAGCACATCATAGTAGAAATCATTACATCTCAATTCTTTCCTGTGCCTCACATACGTTAGGCGGGCAGTAAGCTGCTCCTCTAACTCAAATGGTTACATCTCTAACTAGAGAAGAGAGGAAGACCAAGGTCTCACAGTCTCCAGGGGCATGCCCCCAGGGACCTAACAACCTCACGGGTGGCTCTGCCTCTGAAGGCCACAGCACCTCTCAAAACCACCACCATGGGGCTGGGAAGGTGGCTCAGTGGTAGAGCGCTTGCCTTGCATGCCAGAGGCCCTGGGTTCGATTCCTCAGCACCACATAAGCAAAAAGAAAAAAGCCGGAAGTGGCACTGTGGCTCAAGTGGTAGAGCGCTAGCCTTGAGCTGAAGAGCTGAGGGACAGAGCCCAGGCCCAGAGTTCAGGCCCCATGACCAGACCCAAAAAAAAAAACAAAAAAACAAACAATCAAAACCACCACCGTGGGACCTGGGGAGGACATTTGGCCAAAACTCTACCTTTGTCTCTAGGTCTCACTGGGTGATCCTGGATTAGCATTGTAGGAATAGGATAAATGAATATTGGTTGGTTTAACAGTTGCCAGAGAGCATTCTTCTTATTAAAAACAAAACGAACAAACAAAAAACCCTGAGCCAGGTGCCTGTGGCTCACACTTCTCAGGAGCTTGAAATCTGAGGCTTGCAATTTGAAGCCAGCCGAAAAGCCCATGAGGCTCTCATCTCCAACTAGCCATCAAAAGCCAGAAGTGGAACTGTGGCTCAAGTGGTAGAGCACTAGCATTGTGCAACAAAGCTCTGAGACAGTGCCCAGGTCCTGAGTTCAAGCCCCAGGACCGGCAGAAACACAAAACAAAACAAACAAAAATCCAATAATTTTCTATTCCTATAAAGAACATGGTAGCAGACACACATTGTACAGCTATGTTGAAGAAACAAATGGACTTACTATTTGATGTCACAGCTGTTTTCAGACATACTCAATATATATCATATATATTTCTCAATATACTTTCGTGTGTTTCTTAGGTGATTAAGCAATATAAATAAAGTGATTTATTTATTTACTTGTTTAGCAGATTAAAGAATCCATGTGTTTCTATTCGTTTTTTCTTTTTCCATGTAGAGCCTCATTACAAAACATGTACATGCGGACAATTGCAACGAGACCCTGTGCCAACTCAGCATCCTCATATCCTCACTGGAGTCTGAGTATTGTATTTCAGCAGTAGGAGTCTCAAGAGAATGGGCGGTAACAACTGAGAAGACAAAAGAAGTTTGTATTACCATTTTCAGTAGCCATATAACAGGTAAGTCCTTGGGTGCAACTGTAACTGCCTGGGGTCTGGAAATTCTTGGCCCCATTTGAGGACTGCATAGGGAAAGTTGATCCAGGATGCCATAGGGCCAGTGGTTCTTAGAAGGAGTTTATGTAAGTTCAGGTGTCACCAGAGATGTGTGCCTGGGATATCCAATGTGCCCTGAAGAGCCCACATGTGGCACTTTCCATAGGTGGCTTTGTGATCAAGGCAGGCTCTTTTAATTCTACAGTAACTGATGGAGGAACATGGACTTGGAGAGAAGAAAACGGTCCATGTTATTCATCTAGAGACAAGGAGAAAATACAGACAGTTGTAGGACTTCTCTTTTAGAATCTGAATTTACAGTGCATATTTGTATTTGTTAATCTTTTCTCTTGCTCCTTTTGAGAAGTATCTATTCAAATCATTTGCTCATTTTATATTTTTTGCTGTTAAGGATTTTTTTCTTGTTGTTGTTTTGTGTTTTTTTTTTTTGCCAGTCCTGGGCTTGAACTCAGGGCCTGAGCTCTGACTCTGAGACTGAGCTCATAGCTAGTGCTCTACCACTTGAGCCACAGCACCACTTCTGGGTTTTTCTGTTCACGAGATATTAAGGACTTGAACTCAGGGCTTCATGCATGCTAGGCAAGCACTCTACCACTAAGCCACATTCCCAGCCCATTAAGGGTTTTGAATTCTCTTATATGAACCTTTTGTCAGATGACAAGTTGGCAACTATTTTCTTCTGTTATATAAATTGTCTCTTTGTGGTAAGGAATCTTTTTCATTTGATATAATCCCATTTGTTTATTTTTGCTCTTGTTTCCTGCGTGTTTTTTTTTTTTTTTGAGGTCCTAGCCCAAAAAATCATCACCTGTATCTTGAAGTGTTTCCCCAAGTTCTCCTTAGTAGTTTGAGTTTTAGGTCTATCTGATTTTGTTCTAAGCATTACAATTTTCTAGCCTATAGTTTTTCATAAACCCTAAGGATATTTTGTATTTCTGTGGAATTAGTTGGCTTGTCTCCTTTTTTAGCTCTAATTTTATTTAACAAGTATATCTTTGAAGAATGGAAATCTAAGCTGAACTTCAGCTTAGATTTAATACTAATAACTTTGCAGCCATTATATGAATATTTCAAATAGGTGAATTAAAACAATAGAGAGCATTTCTGTTCATTGCCATTATCCACTTTGAAAATTGAAGCCCTACTTAATAAGCAAATTGTAAAATAATGCACCTGCCCTAGATACAACTTTTCTAAAGCCTAGATGAAAAATGGAGCAACACACTGGCCACATGGTGGCAGCACTGTAGCTGGTGAGCAATAAACCCTCTCATGTCTTTATATACTAGACACTCAACCCTAGATTTCTAACATAGTACTAGAATTCATTATGTTGATATGTCTTAAATTTGCCAATACTGTTGAAATACTGCATGATATAAATTTTAGTAAGTAGTAACTTGCACTATTACTATTTGGAAGAGGTAACTTTGGAATAGAAATTATAGGGACAGATAGATGCCATGAGGACCAAACACATCTATGATATATAGATTCCTATTCAATTTTAGAAGAGAGAACTTATAGGAAAAATGATAAAGATTGTACTGTAAAAAATGTGAACATTAAAAGCAGAACTAGGCCAGACATGCCTGTAATCCTAGCTATTCTGGAGGTTGAGATCTGGGGATCTCAGTTCAAAGCCAGACAAATCCAAGAGACTCTTATCTCCAGTTAACCAGTAAAGAGCCATACTGGAGGTGTGGCTTAAGTGGTAGAGCAATCCAGCTGTAACCAAAAAAACTGAGCAAGATCTCCAGGCCCTGAGTTCAATCTCTAGTATCAGCATTCCCCTGCAAAAAAGAAAAGGCCATGATAGAGCAAAATGCATAATGGTAATCACAGTGGTATAGTCTCTGAACTACACTCCTGATTTATAAAATTATTCTTTATATCTTGTTTGTAATCCAGGAGATTTTATTCCTATGAAACATATTTGTGCGGGTATATCTATGTATATATATTCATCTGTGAATCTTTATGCATAATTTATAATCTTGAAATAAAGGTAAGAAAAATTGTAAGTAGTAAGACTAAATTATGTAAGAGTTATGTACACTGACACAATTTGTGTGTAATGTGGTGTGTGTGTGTGTGTGTGTGTGTGTGTGTGTGTATATGTATGACAGAGAGAGAGACAGACAGACAGAGATGGTCCTTGGGCTTGAACTCAATGCTATCCTTGAGCTTTTTTTGCTCAAGACTAGTACTCTACCATTTGAGCCACAGCTCCACTTTCAGCGTTTTTTTGTTTTTTTTAAGTTTATTGGAGTCTCCATCCCACGCTGGCTTCAAACCATGATCTTCAGATCTCAGTCTCCTAAGTAGCTAGGATTGCAGGTGTCAGCCACCAGCACCCAGCTAAGAGAGACTTAAATACCCTTGCCCTTTTTTACTGAGAAAAAAATGGAACTATCCTAATATCCTAAGGTTTAGGCTATAAGGAAGTTGTTAAGGAAACACTATTTCCACTCTACCAGACATGATGGTGTCGTCCCAGCAAGTTTCAGGCCTGTGGAGCTGGAACAAATCAGATTATAATCTAGGAGAGATGTCTAGCTTTTTCCTTAGAGTTCTGTCTACTTCGGTGTTCTTTGAAATTCAGATCTTCTTAATTAACTAGTGTGCAAATCTGTTAACGAACATTGCTAAAATTTTTTGGTAGATATCAGTATTCCTTCTTAATTCTAAGTTGTATTTTATCTTCTTTTTTAGATTCTGTTTGGATTCCAGTTGTTTCTGTCTTTCTGTTTTTAGCCATTATCCCATTACTTGTGTATTGTCTTATGAAGAATCTATTTAGGAAAAAAAGTATCATGTTACCCAAATCCTTGGTAAGGTATTTAAATATATTCTTTTAGCTATGGATGCTAACTTGTTACTTGTTAACTTGATCTTTTTGTTATTGTTGTTGTCATTGATCCTAGAACTTGAACTCAGGGTCTGGGTGCTGTCCCTGAGCTTTTGTGCTCAAACTAAGCACTCTACTACTTTGAGCCACAGCTCCACTTCTGGTTTTCTGGTTAATTGGAGATAAGAGTGTTGGGGCCCAGCTTTGAAATATGATCCCCAGATCTCAGCCTCCTGAGTAGCTAGGATTACAGGCCTGAGCTTCTAGTGCCTGACTTTGATTTTTTTTTTTTTTTTTTGCCAGTCCTGGGCTTGAACTCAGGGCCCAGGTGCTATCCCTGGGCTTCTCAAGGCTAGCACTCTACCACTTGAACCAGGGCTTCATTTCTGGCTTTTTCTGTATATGTGGTACTGAGGAATTGAACCCAGAGCTTTGTGCATGCTAGGCAAGCACTGTACCACTAAACCACATTCCCAGCCTGGTGACTTCAATTTTACTTACAAAATAGAATGATTTCAACATCATTTAGGAGAATGATATGATATGCTGAACTCATTGTATTTAATATTAGTATAGTACTGATCATCAAAGAGAATCTCTCAATCTACCACATATCCTAAACTACGTATTTGACTGCTCACCAAGTCCTTAAAAAAAAAATTAGCACAAAAACACAGAAAAACTGGGGTTGGGAAGGTGGCTCAGTGCTTGCCTTGCATGCATGAGGCCCTGGGGTCAATTCCTTAGCACTACATAAGCAGAAAAAAGCCGGAAGTGGTACTGTGGCTCAAGTTGTAGAGCACTAGCCTTGAGCTGAAGAGCTGAGGGACAGCGCCCAGGCCCAGAGTTCAGGCCCCATGACTGTCAAAAACAAAACAAAACAAAAACAAAAACACAGACAAACCTAGTAAAGAATTTCAAATCTTGTGGAAATAAAAGATGAGTATACTGTGTGATTGGTTCAGAGATGAAGGCTTAGAGGTGCCCCTGTCAGGACCCATCCAGCTTAGGAGTCGAAGGTGAGTTGTAGCTTTGCCCTATGACTTACTATAGAACAGGAGTTATGTTTGTGTGAGGAATAAATAGGAGTTTATCTAAGTACCTAGGGACACTAGAGGATAAAGCCAAAGTCCAGAAAGTTCCTATATGCAGGCTAGCATATAGGAAAGATGGTTAAAAATGAGATTGTGACAGAAATTTAATATTTAAATATCAAGCATTTCAGTGTCATTTGAAATGATAAAAAAAAATAGCCAGGCGCGGGTGGCTCACGCCTGTAATCCTAGCTATTCAGGAGGTTGAGATCTGAGGATCACCGTTCAAAGCCAGCCCAGGCAGAAAAGTCTGTGAGACTCTTATCTTCAATAAACCACTAGAAAACCAGAAGTGGAGCTATGGCTCAAGCGGTAGAGCACTCGCCTTGAGCTGAAGAACACAGGGACAGCGCCCAAGCCCAGAGTTCAAGCCCCACGACCGACCAAAAATAAATAAATAAATAAAGCTAATGGGATGATAACTGCTTGAATCAAATATGATAAGGATAATAGGAACATAGTGAAATTTGCTATAAAAAAGAGACTACCTTTAAGTCAGGAAGTAAGAAGAATCAGTAGTAGACAATTCAGACATGAATGATAATGGACATGCTTAATAATTAAGCACAGAGTCACCTTGCAATATGTTATTTACTGTTTAGTAGAGCAATGAAAACAAACCTGACTGTCTAACAGTGCTATTCCTACTAAAACTGACTGGTGCTGGTGAGAATAGCATAGCCTGGGTAGGAAGGTAAGTGTGCAGGAGCCGCGGCTTGATGGCGAGTGCCTTAAGCACACCATGCCCTTTGACCCTGTCATTCCAGTCTCTTATTCATAGGAAATAAGTTCATAAATAAAAGATATGTGAAAGGTTCAGCATGTTCTGTATCTTATCAACTAAATTATCAGTACGAAAAAGTAATGTCACTGACCATTTCAATGACAAGGCAGATGATAAGACTGAGTCACAGTGCTCCCTTTGCAAACGTAGCACACCCACTTGTGGAAGGAAATGCAGGTAAAGCAACCTGGGTTGGTGAACTATTAACTGACTTCATTTGTTTTTAACCTTAAGTGTTTTTTATGGAAAAGAAAAAGAAAAAAAATCACTACCCTGTTCAGATATGTTATCCTAAATATGTCCTTTGGTGGTCCATTACTTTGAGACCTCCTTGGTTGGTTGGGTGGGTAAGTGGCTGGCTGGCTGGTTTTGAGAATAGGTATTTAAGTTTAACCATCTACTTTCTTTACTTGATTTCTCTCTCTTTAGATCTCTGTGGTAAGAAATGTCACCTCAGAGACAAAACCTGAGTCAAAATATACATCGCTCATCACATCATGCCAGCCATTGGTACCAGAAAATGAGACGGTGATCTGCGAAGAGCAGGCCTCTCCAGCAACGGTTCCAGCCCTGCAGACAGAAGACAATCCAGGAGCAGCAGGAAACAGAGAACCTTCTAGTGAAATAGAAGTGGTCACTACTGAAGAAAATATTTCTCAACTGACCACCTGTGGCCCTTTGACTCCATTAAACAAAGAGAATTCTTCCCCTTCAGATAGTAACCAGTCAGAGCCAGGCAGCTTCACCTTGAACTCCTATCACTCCAGAAATGGTTATGACAGTGGCCTCATGGGATCCGACAGCCTTGTATCTGACTCTGAACTCCCCCCAAATAATAAAGCTGAAGTGAAGTCAGAAGGACAAGAGCCCATAAGGCTGAGAAATGCTCCCACATCTTTTGGCTACGATAAACCACATGTGCTTGTGGATGTGATAGTGGATGGGGGTAAAGAGTCTTTGATTGGTTATCGGCCTACAACAGATTCTGATGAAGTTTCCTAAGATCTAATGAAAGGATCTGAATTTCCTGAATTGTTTTCCTGCTTTGACTTTGTAAAAACATCATGAAGTCTGACATTGTATCCTCATTGATATTAACCAGATGGAATATCTTGGCTAAGACAAAGATGTAAATAACCTTTTGACTTTCACATCTGATTTGAAACTACAAAGACTGTTGAAAAAAACTCATTGTAGTCACAAAGTACATATAGAGTATACTATGATAATAATAAGTTACTCTTTGAAGCATGAAATTTTGGATAGCACATTTTTAAAGCACTGATTTTATACATTAGAAAAGATTAATGTTAATAAAAAAAATCTATAATGTTAAAAAACAGTCCCTCCTGACTAAAGTGAAACATAAATGTAGCACAATTAAAGAAAAGCTAAAAAACCACCTCATTGTAGTTAATGAGCTTTTCCACCTAATGGATAACAGCAGATTTTTAATATATATATATATAAAATTGGTTATTTTTCTGTATGATGTTTTATAAATTTTATGACGTGTGTGTGTGTGTGTGTGTGTGTGTGTGCGTGCACGCGCGTTCACATGTGTATATTTTCCCAGTACCTATATTTGAACTCTTGGCCTTGTGCTTACTCAGCTTGCTTGCTCAGTTGGTGCTTCACCACTTGAGCTATTCATCTAGTCCAGCTTTTTGCTCGCTATTTTGAAGATAGAATCTTATGGATTTCTTTTTCCTGGACTGGCTTCAAACTGTGATGGTCTGGCTCTCAGCCTTCTGAAAGCTTTTCCAAGTTGTACCTACAATCTAAATCCGACTAGTAGAACTTAAGAGGATGTATTACTAGAAACATGTACAGTTCTTTTTTAACAATATTGCATTTAGTGCTTTTGAAATAAAATACTTAAAAACTTAATTTGGTATTATTAAAACACTTAGGTAATCTTTCATAGTTAACAAGAGTATTTTTAATCTATTGTGTGTTTCTAGGTATTGATCCTGTAGAAATATTTTCTAATTGTTTATTCTTTTTTTTTTTTTTTTTTTGGTCAATTGTGGGTCTTGGACTCTGGGCCTGGGCACTGTCTCTCTGCTCTTCAGCTCAAGGCCAGTGCTCTACCACTTGAGCCACAACACCACTCCAGTTTTCTGGTGGTTAATTGGATGTAAGAGTCTCAGGCACTTTCCTGCCCGGGGTTGGCTTTGAATGCGATCCTCAAATTTCAGCCTCCTGAGTAGCTACAATTACAGGTGTGAGCCACCAGCACTTGGCAGTGTGTACCTTTTCAAGGCATTTCCCAAATGACCTACTGCTTCCAACTTGGGCCCATCTTTCACAGTCCCAACAATTTATTCAGATTTTGAAACCATAAATGGATTAAGCCATTGATTAGGTCAGATTCCCCCAAGATCTAATCATCTCCATTAAAACCCTTACTGATATACTTCAAAGTATGCTTTAATAATCTCCAATGTCTCTCAATTCTGTCACGTGGACAGTCATATCATTTAGATTTTTAACTTTTGAGGCACCGAATTCTTTGTCAGTGTTCATTTCTCATCTTACATTGCAATAATTGTTCTTTCCAGTGAACCACAGAAAATTTTGTCCAATTTTCTCCAAACTTTGAACTCCTTTTGGAATTGTGTTTAGCATTGCATTGATGCCATATAATAATTAGGAATAACTATTTCCCAAAATCAAGTGTTCTTTTATAAGTATGGGGAATATTTCTCTTCAAGCATTTTATCTGCCTCGTTAGTTTTATGTAGGTATAGAGCAGAAATGACCTGTCAGAAGTGATCTAGTAGGAAATTACCAGATTTCTTTGTAATATGATACTTTCTTTTGTGTTGCAAAATGGCAATGTTTTCTTGCATTATAGTTTCTAAATGTCTGGATTTTTAAAACAAATTTATTGTTATAAAGGTGATACACAGAGGGATTACAGTTAGATAAGTCAGATAAAGAGTATATTTCTTTTGGGACAATGTCACCCCTTCCCTCTCTCCCAGTTTTTCCCTCTTATTCCCACCCACAAACTGTAAAGTCCATTTTCAACATAGTGTCTAGTGAGTACCACTGCTGTATTTGTTCACCCTTTGTCCCTCCATTCTGTTCCCCTCTTACCCTCCTGAAGACAGGTAAATGAACAAACAAGACAAAAAGAAAAACAGTTCACGGGGCACAGGTGGCTCATGCTTGTAATCCTAGCTACTCAGAAGGCTGAGATCTGAAGACTGGTTCAAAGCCAGCCTGGGCAGGAAACTGTGAGACTCTTATCTCCAATAAACCATTCAGAAAACCGGAAGAGTTGCTATGGCTCAAGTGGTAGAGCACTAGCCTTTAGCTGAAAAGCTGAGGGAAAGAGCCAAGCCCAGAATTCAAGCCCCATGACCAACAAAAAGAAAAAAAATGAAAAAGGTGTTTTTCTCATGCTGAGGTTAGTGATAAATTTCAAATTTTGTTTGGACACTTAGCGTTCATCATCATCTAGCTATATCTTATTTTTTTGTGTGTGGGCCAGTCCTGGGGCTTGAATTCAGGGCCTGAATACTGTCCCAGAGCTTCTTTTGCTCAAGGCTAGCACTCTACCACTTGAGCCACAGCTCTACTTCTGGCATTTCTAGTAATTTATTGGAGATAAAAATCTCATGGACTTTCCTACCTGGTGGCTTCAAACCAATCCTTAGATCTCAGCCTAGTAAGTAGCTAGGATTATAGGCATGATCCGCTGGCACCCAGCTATGTCTTATTTTTGTACCTTATCCCCTCCCCCTTTTTCATTATCTTTGATATTAATTAGTATGTAAACCTGTGGATGCTAATCTTGCTCTTTACCCTTCAACTCTGAAGAAATTAAAGCAGTATGGGTAGGACTGGCAAATTGGGCATGCTTAAACATGTCAGTATCCTTTTATTCTCTGGAACTCACAAAATAGTAACAAGAATTGAAATTAAGTGGTTCTTAATACTCCTCCAAGATCCCTGGGTCAGTTAAAGACATCCAAATTGTAGAATTGCTAAAGCAAAAAATAATGATGATGAAAATACCACATTTCAGGCGATAGAGGAGCTTATGAGGTACATTTCAGCTGTGCAAATATTTGCATTGAAATAAAATAAAGAATAAAACAAATGAAGTAAACATTGGATTCAAGAAGCAAGCTCTTAACTTAAAAAAAAAAAACAAAAACAAGTTAAGTAGAAGGAAACCAGAAGGGAAGAATTTAGAAGAAGATGAAAGGGGTAACACTGGTCAAGATTCATGGTATTCAAAAGCTGATTTGCCAAATGGCAACTCTGTACAACTACTTAAAGATAATAAAAATAAAATATATATAAAAAAGATTTTAAAAGATAAAAAGATGAGAATGAGATGACTTTTTAAATTAGATACATGAGGTAGTAATAAATGAGATATTTAACAGATGTTCCTTGAAAAAAAGCTTCAAAAGCTAATTTATTAAAAAATAATAGATAAGGGAAACAACATCATTACTCAACATTGGAACTATAAAAAAGGGAAACTACAAACAGGAGAGACTAGGTAAATCATAAGGGAACAACTTGCTCAATTCTATGCAAATCAAATATAAGAGCATGAATAAGACAGATGTGGTGGTGTATACCTGTAATCATTCAGGAGGCTCAGGCATAGGAATCACAAGTTCAAGGAAGCCCAGGTTATATAATGAGAGCTTGGCCAATTAAAAAAAGACAATGAAGAGAATGGAGAAGGAAGAAGAAAGAGTAAGTAAAAGAAGAAAGAAGGAAGAGGAGAAGGAGGAAAGGAAGAAAGAGAGGAAGGGAGGAAAGGAGGAAGGAAGGAAGAAAGGAAGGAGAAAGAGGAAAAGGAGAAGCAAGAAGACAAGGAGGAGGAAGAAGAAAAGGTGTGGCATGAATAAAATGAATATTTTCTAAAGAACAAAACAGTTTGCAAAAACTAGAGGTAAGTGAGGTAGAAAAATCTAAACAGACTAATGACCATAGACGTATCAGAGGAAGAAAAATGCCCAAGATCTTTCCCATATGCTTCACCATTGCAATACAGAAAATCCCCAGATGATTTCTTAGGGAAATCTCTCCAGCCCTTAAAGAAGTAAATGATTCCTTGGTCTCATAGATTACTTTGTCTAGCTGAGGAGCTGGTTGTGGTGTCACATGAATTTGCAATGGCAGGTATTCACCATTAATTGCCTTTCACTGAAAGAACCACACTGACCTCACAACCAGAGAACTGCAACACCCTCCCTCCTCTCAGCACTCCACCCAGATCATAAGCAAGCAGAGAAGCAGCTTCTAACAATTCACATTTACATGTATTCATACGTGTTTCAGATGTATTGCATCTTAACCCATGTAAATGCGTGTCCGCTATAATGCCACATTTCTTTCCATTGGTTCCATGGATCTGTGCTGTGTCCAGCTCCGTTTTAAGGGGTAGTGGTGGGATAAAGGAGGAAACAAAACACATAATGTCTTCGACTTTATAGCAGCAGACACAGACCAGAGAAATAAAATAAAACATGGCTTATGAAATGATGGTCCCGTGTCATGGAGACACATTAAGCAGATAGACAGCTGTTGGGGAGATTGCAGCTATTACAAGCTATGAAGGAGGGGAGGGAGGAAGCCTGGGCACCTCAGAGAAAACTTTAGGAGAAAGGACTTATGAAAATGAGCCTGGCATGTTCCAGAAATGGTAAATGGACCAATCAGCTAGAGTGCTGGGAGTACAGGGTAGAGCTGACAGCTGCTGTTGTGATGAATGGGACCGCAACAGACAAGGCCTTGTAAAGGACTACAAACATTTCAGCTTTCATTCTGAATGAGATGGGAAGTTATCTGAGTGCTCACATGTCAAAAAAACAAAACAAAAAAACTCCAGGGGCTGAGAAGATGGCTCAGTAGTAGAGTGCTTGCCTCGCATGCTTGAGGCCCACATAAGCAGGAAAAGCTGGAAGTGGTGCTGTGGCTCAAGTGGTAGAGCACTAACCTTGAGCAGAAGAGCGGAGGGACAGCACCCAGGCCCAGAGTTCAAGGCCCACGACTAACAAAACAAAACAAAAACAAAAATTCCACCCAATTCAAAGGCAGTGGCAGAAGCGGGGATACCAACCCAGGAGGCTGCGGCCACAACCTAGTCAAGAGATCATGGTAGCCAGGAGTCCAAGAGGTTCTAAGACAAGGTGACAATTGTTTGGATTCTGATTATGATATGAAAATCTTTCCAGTGTCAAAACTTTACACGCAAACAACATCTAGTAGGATTTTCAAGGTCAATGAAGAACCTTGGTCAAGGAGAATCAAAGCTAAAGCAACTAGGTTCTTTTATCTAGAAGAGATGAGCAGAAAAAGTTAATGAGTCACTCAGTCTTGTGATTGGAGATTTTTAAGAATACAAGTTGAGGTACTCCTTATCTAAAACATTTGGAACTGGATATGCTTGAGATTTTGGAGTTTAAAAAATATTTTGGAACATTTGCATATAAATTATGAGATACCTTAAGGAGAGGACTCATGTCTAAACAAGAAATCCACTTACAATTCATATGTAACTTATACATAGCCTGAAGGTAAAACAAATGCAATATTTTAGTACAACTGTCTTCTGATTGTAACATATCACATGAAACCAGGTGAAGAACTTTCTTTTCTGAATTGTGGCCCATAAACTATTTTGAAGAACAAGCCAATTATTTCCAGAATGTAGATCTGCTTAAATGCCACAGGCATTTCTTAGGGGTAGGAATATGAGTTGCTGTACCAGTGTTATATCCTCCTCTTCCTCTTCTTCCTTCCCTTTCTCCTCCTCCTCATTTTAGGACTATACTCCAGAAATGATCAAGAACATGACATGTGTGGTTTTCAGCTTGGCTTATTTTGTTCAACAGGATGACCTTCAATTCCACTCATTTTTCCTGCAAGTGGAATAATTTTGTTCTTCTTTATGGATAAGTGTGTTAGTGTGCGTGTGTGCAGTATTTTCCTTATCTTTTCATTAATTGTTGAGTCCTTTTTCTGATTGATTCAATAGTTTGGCTCATTTGAACAGAGCTGCAATAAACATGGGAATGCAGGTATCTTGCTTGTATGTTAATCTAGTCTTCTCTGGATCTATACACGAGACTGGAATAGTGACATAATAAAGTATGTCTAGTTTTAGTCCTTAGATGAACCTCCACATAGTGTTTGCACTAGTTTACATTCCACCCAGGGCACATAATAGCTCTTTTCCCACCCTCATCTATGACAGCTTGTGCTGTGGTTTGTTTCCTTGGTGATTGCCAGTCTGGTTGGTGTGAAATGGAATCTCAGTGTAGTTTTGATTTGCATTTCCTTTTTGGTCAGACATGCTGGAGATTCTTCTGAAGGCGAATGAGAAGCATGTGGCCTTTTGCTAACAGCACCTGGCTGAAGAGAATGACCTCAGCTCCATGAGGACTGCCTACCATCTGGTATATTTCTGCTTCCTAGTGCCTAGTATCCACTGATTCTGTGTAAACATTTGTTCGAGTGAATAAACAATCAAAGGAGTAAATGATCGAATTTGTTTTACATCATTAGGTTCCATTTAGGAAGGAATACGAAAAGTATAGAAAAGCACAACAGCCAGACTTTACCTCTCAATTTGTGAATACTTGCTATAAAACATTTGGTCAAGTTCTCTTAGCTTCTCCATTTCAGCTTCTTCTTCTGTAATATCAAGATCAAAATCCCATGTTGCATGTAAATATAGTTTTGAATAATTGTTTACTTGGGTGAGTTGTTGGTCTTCCAGAAG